TGGTAAAAGAATACTTTTCCATTGATATACGTCTTCGTTATCGCCTTTTTTTGTAAACAACCACATACATCTATTCCAAAGATCGTTAATTAAAATAATCATTTGTTTGACCTAAACAAAAATTGTCAATTTGAATTTCAACTTGTTATCGACATCATTTTCTTTGATGAGATCGCGTAATCATTTAATTATATTTTTATAAAAACAACTTTTTATCTCAACTATTGCATTAACCATTTTTTTTTCCAAAACTTAATCCTGTACATTTCTTTTCAATGTTGTCTGAATCAAGTCACCACTGTACTGTGAAAAAAACCACCCCCTTCTCCTTGTTCCGTACGCACCTCCACCCCCAGGTCCCACTTAGCTTGCAGGCGTTGAATGATCGAAATTTGCGACTGAAATATATCAAAATTTAAACTTTCACTCAACGTTTCCCTGGTTCTTGTTTACCACGTAAATTTTCAGCATCAATTAACCAAAAAAGAACGCCCTTATACTGAAGATTACCTGATGTAGCATTTTTGTAGCATTTGTTCAATTTCATTTTAGTACCCTTTATAGTAGGCGGTGGAAACAATTGACGCAATATTGTGATCATTGCCTACTAGGTATAGTTAAGCAGAATCGAAAAATGAAGTGGGTGTTGAGCTGGAGGCCATTTAGGGGCTTAAGAGCCGAATGCCGCATATCAGAAATTCGCTACTCTCTTATTTGTTAAGTTACCGACTTGATGGGGGTAAGTGAAGAAAGAAACTATGATTTCCGAAGACGGTGAAGAAGTAGAAACCGAAACAGGGCCAGGAAAACCAAGAGTTCAAAAACGAAGCTGAAGATAATTCGGATTAGAAGATCTTTTCTTATCTTCCTCATTAGGGAAGTACTGATTCGGTGGAAAATAAAACTGCAGAAGCAGACAACAAGTAAAGTAATCAAAGAACTTAAAAACTGATTCGGGAAATTTGCGTTAAAGATCTTGTACATTATTAGAATGTGGCCTGTAGAATCCATACTTTCAAACAATTCCAAGATCGGATTACTAGATCAAAAGTTACAGCCCTTTGAAAAGATGAAGAACCCATTTTCGTAAAATATTAAAGAAGCTGAAAACATTAAAAAGGCCGAGGAGTAAAAAATTAAAAAATTCAAAACCAAGTGAGAAGACGTGTAGTGTAAAAATTTAGACGCTTTCGCTTTCGATATTTAAAAATAAGTACAAGTTGTGCACAACACTTATGCAGATAACGTGCATTTTTTTAACGCCCCTATGTAAACACTTCGGGAAGGGCCCGAGAATGAATCTGTGGCCATTTTTCCATTATACGCATCCGATTTACTATAGAAATTTTCGTTCGATTTTGAGAAAAACGTTTTCTTTAAATTTATACATATCGGGAAAATGGAAATTTTCGAAAAATGTTAAAAAAAATTAGAAAAACTTGTTTCTTTACTAAATCAAACGCGTAGAATTCAAAAATGAAGTCGATTTTGAGTTACGGGCCCATTTTGGACCTTGGGCCAAAAATTCAACATGAGCCCAATAAACAATTTGCAAATTTATTGAGATATCGACCTGCAATTGGACCGAGGAAAGATGAAAACGTGTAATGTAAAAATGTGGGCCACTTTGAGCTCAGGAACAGGTGGCTGATATTTTACACTACACGCTCTCATCCTTTCTCTGTCGAATGTAACAAACGCAAGTTGATATCTAAAAAAGGAAGGAGGTTATGTCCTTTTCTTGACTTTTTTGGGTCAAAAAGTCCCTAACGGAAAGCTCGAAAACGAATCTGAGGCTATTTTTTTTTATTTCTACGCGCCCGTTAGATTATAGGAGTGATTTTCAAACGATTCTGAGAAAATTTCCGAACGTTCACTTTTTGCGTCCGTTTACTTGGGGGAAATGGAACAAAAATTTTCAAAAAAATTACAAAAACTTGTTTCTTTACTAAATCGGGAACGTAGATTAAAAAAATGTAGTCGGTTCTGAGCTACAAGGCCATTTTGGGCCCTTAAAGAACTTCGACGGGGCCCCAATAAAAAAATTGCAACCCCCTTCTTTGTTGAGATATCGACTTGAGGTTATTTTTGTTGTACAGAGGAAGGGTTAAAGCGTGTACTGTAAACATTTGGATTATCTGGCACGTCGGGTTCCAGGACAGCCTTACTCAAAATTGAGGTTACTTTTCTCATGAGCCGCCAAGGAGGCTGCTATTTTACATTACACGCTCTCATTCTTCCTCTGTCGAATTGAAGAAACCACAAATTGATACCTAAAAAAATGAGAAAGTTCGGAAGGGGGTCATGCTCTTTTTTTTGGCATTTTTGGGTCAGAAAGGCCCTAACGAAGAATGCAAATTCCATGTGATTTCCAGTACTTTTCCGTTAAAAAGCCCAAGAGTGAAAATTTTTGAAATGATTGAATTTGACAAAAACTAGTTTACTAAATACCGTGCGTAGAATTCAAAAATGAAGTCGGTTTTGAGCTACGGGGCCATTTTGATCCCTTAAAAAATTTGCCAAAATCCAACATGACTTCAATAAAAAAATGTGTAACTCCCGTATTTGTTGAGATATCGGCTTGCAGTTATTTTTATTGGACAGAAAAAGGTTAAAGCGTGTAGCGTAAATATTTGAGCCTTCTGGCACTGTGGATTCCGGGGCAGCCGCCAAAGTTGAAGTTACTTTTCTTATATGAATCGTAAGTCGCAGTAGGCTGCTATTTTACATTACACGCTCTTATCTCTCCTCTGTCCAATGTAAGGTTGATATGTAAAAGAGGAAAGTCATATCCTTTTTTGGGCCAAAAAGTCCCTAAGGTAGGGGCCCGAAGACTCGCCGTTCGATTATAGGACGTCATTTTTGAGCGATTCTGAGAAAATTTCCGAACTTTCACTTTTTCCGTTTTCCCTTTTACTTCGCGAAACCGGAAATTTAAAAAAAAATCAAAAACTTTTTCAAAAAATTGACAACAACTTTGTTTCATTAGTAATAAATGTGAACTACTTTTAGTGGAATTGTCCTGCAATTTTTGGCAATAGGTGTGCCAGACGGCGTTCAAATTTGTTGTCTTAGAAGAGAGCCTAATTTTTTGGAGGAGCTAAATGATGACAGAAAAATATACAGGGTGTTCCATTTAAAAAAAGTGTGATATTTTAATATAAAGTTTTGTAACTTTGGACCCACCAAAAAAAAACACCCTGTAAGCTATATTTTTAATGTTTCATAGTAGATGTATTTATCGAATTATCTTTAAAAAACTACTAGTTTTTCGGATATTAACCATATAATAAAAAAGACCTACAATTACATGTAGAATTCAAAAATGCATTCAAATACAGGGAGTTCTATTTAAAAAAATGTACCATTTTTGCGCCCTACTTTGTGGGCGCACCCTGTATAATTCTAAATATATTTAAAATGTGAAAAATATGCAACCATATCATAATACAATCTATCGAAAAATCTTATCTTCAAGGCATTAAGATACTCCGCGCAACCGTTGACTCACCCTGTACAAAGTATAACTTTCCCGCGCGACTCCTTTTCGAGATCGGTGGGTGACCAAGGGGGGGGGGGTGTAGAAATTAACTTTACATATCTTTCTATGGATGCTAAGTAAAGGTTCCAACAAAAGGAACTTCCGCCCTTCTTTCTGACTCCTTATCAAGCGGAGGTTGGGGGAGGGGGGGGGGCTGGTTTTATTCCTCCTATTAGTCCATCTCCTCGACCCCTTACCTTAACGTGATTCGATATAATTCCTTATATCTCAAAAACAGATTGCCGAAGGAGAGATACTCACTAGGGATGATTGGGACGTCTGGAAGAAATATATATCCATTGGTGATGTCAACACTTTAAGAGCGAACATCTTGAATGTGCAAATATCTGCAGAACGGAAGAGGGTGCCCTCAAAGGGCGTAAATACCCAATTAAATAGTTATATGCTTTAAACAAATTCCGATTACTTCCGAAGATATACCAAAAAAATACAACGTTTCGTTTCGGACAAACCATCATCAACTCTATTTTCTTATATTGCATATAAAAAAAAGTACACACTGTATTGAGGTATTTTTATTATCCTTATTTATCACGAATGCAATGGCACACAAAAAAAGAAAAGTTGGAATATGTTAGTTTCAACAGGATGGTGCAACCGCACACTACGTCCTAATCGTACGAAAATGCCTATTGGACACGTTTTCCTGGTTTTCCATTTTCCAGAAAATTTGTTTGATAGATATTCTCGTACGATTAGAGCATTATATGCGGGCGCACCATCCTGTTGAAACTGTTTTTTTACCGTATATCGTATAAATAGGTAAAATAAAAAATGTTACTCAATACAGTGTGTTCTTTTTTTAAAGGCCATATAAAAAATAAAGCGGATGAAATTTTAAAATAAAGTTTTTTTATAAACCCCCTATTAAAAAAGAACGTCTCTTCATTTAAAAATATTATTTGAAAACGGCTCTTTTTGTTGTGTTCCATTAGTTCGATATCGAGCGATATCTCTTGACAGTATCGTGGTACAAAAAAAAGTTGAAATACAAAATTGTTTGCTGGTTTAATATGTTCTCCATAAATGTCTTATTTTAAATAGAGCACACAATATAAGTAGATAAGAGATAGGAAATTTTGCATACTTTTTGTTAAGCATCATGTACCTATACAAAAAGTCAGTGTTTTGTTTGTATGTGTCAAGAAAAACAACCATATTTTGTTTATTTAATGCGGTAAATACCATAGGTATAAACTAGGTAAATCTTCTGTAAGGTACCTATTTATACAGGATCCTTGAAAAATTGTACAATATTGTACAGGGTATGTTTGCAATACGGTGCACAAAATCAGAAATTTGAAACATCCATAGTTTTTTTATTTTAAATCTCAGAAGGTGAGTATATGGCGATGAGTAAATTCAGCAATGGATTCACGATATGGAAATCCGCGCATATCCCGCATATTTCATAATGGAATGGAAAAAAGTGACTTACCCGGCAATGTTTCCCGATGACTCCAAATTTCCGGAGTAGCTGATGTGATGCGACAACTGTGTCAGCTGCGGCCCCTCCAAATTTCCCTGTTCGTTCGGCGGTACCGAATTTAAATGTGTCAAAACCGCCCTCCTCGGCGAGCCGGGACTCGACGTGCCGCTGCCGTTCGGCGAACTCGACGCGACGCCCTGAACTGTGTCGAGCTGCAGGTACTGGGAGTTCGCGCCTTCCTCCAGGTGTATCTGCAAGACACGCGCGCGATTAGTTTGGGGAAAACTCGCGACGGAAATGTTTACCTCGTCCATGCGATGATTGTAAATAACGTAATCGCCACCATCGGCCCGCATGTTTGTGGGATAATTCTCTGGCTGCTGTGGTTCGGAGCCGTAAGGCAGACATTCCATAGGCGTGGTGGCTCTGGAATGGGGAGAGGGCTGAGTTCCTTGCTGGGAGGCGGGACTATACTGGGATGCCTCCTCGACGTAGCCGTCGACACCTAAAACACATCGGTGCATGATAAGTTGCCTATCATTATCACGAAACAAAAACGTAAACGACACGACCTACACTAAGCTGATAACAATATCAACAATTTTCGCCAATATAATTTTATAAAGTATCGTTTTATGGACATTTTGCGTTAATAGTTTAATCTAATCAATTTCAATTAATGAAACGTTAAGCGCGCTACCGGCTGTCGACTCCGAAAAAGAAATTCGACGATCACTTTTTTGTCGCGTGCATTTTTTTTTGTAAATTGCTCAGATTATGATCTTTGATCGCTCCTTGACCTTTGTCAGTTTAACAACCTACCCATTCGGCAATGGTTTAGGATTTTTGCGTTGCCATGTAGAGCGTGACGCAACGGAAATTACTAATAATTGCGCATTAGCCTCATGTTAGAGCTGACACATTAGTTCAGATTCACCCCTGGTAACTTCCATAATTTTGAATCGATTTCAAGATCAGACAAAGTTTTAGTTCTAGAGGAGCAATTCTTATTTTAATATAGTACACCTAATTTATCTTCAGAATTAATTTTTCTTCCGTTTCTTGGTCCTTGAAAGATTTATACAGGGTGTATAATGATTTTTTTCAAGTCCCCAAATTCACGTTTCTTCTCTAATTTTTTTTAGCAACCGTGACAAGCAAAAAAAGAAAATAATGGCAGTAGTTTGTTCGTCCGAAACCAGAATCAGTTTTTAGTTTAGGGGTCCAAGCGCCTCAAAAACAACAGACTCCAAAAAACAGATCGATTTACAGGGCCGCTAAAGCTGAACGGTTACTACTGAAAACCCTTATAGCTTCCTATGACTATTAAAAACTCAAAAAGTCTTTAGAATAATGATACAGGGTGGCTGGAACACTGAATAGTATTTTCAAAACAAATTTTTAGACGAAGCTTTTTACCCAAAATTCTAAAAAGTTCGCTACCGAACTGTGTACTTACTTTAAATTTGTGGCCAGTGGCGTACTTCTGCAGGGTCAAGAGGGGTATAATTTTTAATGGCAACCTCCACTAGTTTTCTTGGTATATTCTTAAAGTAGGTACACATTTTTGGATGTAGCAGCACTTTAAAAATATGTATTAAAAAATAGCGGTTGCCCCCCTTGGCCATGCAGAAGTACGCCATTGAACCCACATTTAAAGTACGTAGATTGGTAGAAAACTTTTTTATAATTCTGGGAACCATAAGAAGCTTCTTTAAAAAATATGTTGTTTTGAAGATATACGAGGCATGTTCAAAAATTGCGTAGACTGTTTGAATTGCGCGGGCCCAGTTGGGTCCAGGGAAATCCGCTTGGTGCCTTGGTCACGCCATCTTCGTACAGATCAGCTGATTACAATTGCAAATATGATTATTGGTTGTTTGTGAAGGAGCTTTAAAGACTCTCAAGTGTCTTGAAAATCCTTGAAAACTTTAAAGACTCATGGAACCTCTTAAAGATTCTCAGGATTTTAAAGAAATTTAAATAGTTTAAAACTGAAAAACTCTTTAAGACACTCTTATACATTACACATTGGGAACTTGAAAGCACTGGGAAACTGTAGGCGACTCTTAAAATTCCTTAAAATTTTTAAAGACCGTTAAATACAATTAGAAATCCTTAAAATTTGTAAAGGATCTTTTCAAGATTTGAATACAGTCCTTTTGCAGTCTTTCAAAAGTCCTTAAGTACCTGCCTTAAGAGCTCGTAAAAGCTTTTCAAAACTATATAGGATGTTTCAAGCGCGTTTCAAACATTATTAAAACGTATTAACGAACAAGGACATTAAAAAACTCTTGTAGTGTCTTGAAGAATCACCTTAAAGGCTACTGGCACCTCTTCAAGTTTTTCAATAATTTTTAAATTTTGTTTAAGACTCCAAAAGCCTTTAGGATATTCTTTTCGAAGGTCTTGAAGTTTTCAAGGTCTAAAATCTCAATAAGTTTTCAAGAATCTTTATTCACTTAGAGATCCGTAATGTTTGCAGAAGGCTTTTTAAGATTCGGATTTTAAATACTTCTTTAAAAAAAAGCTATAAAGTGCTCGGAAAATGTATTAACCTCTTTGAGAATACTTTTAAAGACTCAAAGATTGATAACCTTTATAACATTAAAGCCCATGAAAATCTTTAAAAAAATCTTCATCCTTCAAAGGCTCATAACCGGTCTTAAAGATCTTAAAGGCTCATAAAAACTTTTAAAGATTTCATAGAATTCTTAATATCTCCTAATTGATCTTGAAGGCGCAACTCTTAAACACTTCCAAAGCGTATTAAAGTATTTAAAGGCTTTTAAGGATGTTTAAACGCTCTCAAATCTCCTAGATTTCTAGAATAACCTTGAAGTGTTTTTGGGGACCTTTGAAACCCCTTGAAAACTTCTTCAAGATTCTATTAAAGGATTTTCAAGATTCGATAATAAATTAGATTATAAAAATCTGTAAGGAAAAGCTTGAAAATGCTCATAAAAGTCACCACAATCTCTTAGAGACCTTTGGGGAATCCTTTTAAAGACTCGGTCCCATAACTCTTTTGAAAATCCTTAAAACTTATGAAGATTTTTAAAGATACTCCAAAGATACTTCCAAAGAAGCTCTTAAAGAAAAAAGTATCTTCAGCACTCTAAAAGAGCGGCAGATCCCAAGATTTTAAATAATTATTGGCAAAAGCTCTTGAAGATTTTAAAGAACTTATAAAAGCCTCCTCAAAATTTGGCCTTAGTAAAACTAACTGTCTATTAAAGGTTCGAAAAAAGACTCACAAAGACTGTTAAAATAACGGTTCTTAAAGGGAATATAGAGAATCTTAAGAGCTATAAAAGTTTCTCGAAGACTCTTGGGAGCCTGATATGGGCCTTGAAAGTTCTTAGAGGCTATTTTCCATTCTTAAGGTCCAAAAAAACTCTTAAAGACTTTTAGCACTTTAAGCACTAATAAAGGTGTTGACTAATCTGTGCAAGAAGACGTCGTATTTGATGACTCTTGAAAACCTTGAAACCTCTTAAGGTTTGTTGAACGCTCTTGAAACCTTTTAAAAACTAAAGGCACTCCGGGAGACACTTGAAAATTTTTTAAAGGCTCTTGAATACTATTAAAGACTCTAGAAGACTGTAGAAAGCTCTAGAGAAATCTTCAAAAAATTCCTAGATGTTCCTAAAGCCCCAAATACTGTGGCAAACGAGGTAAATGTCTCGAACCCGTAAAAGTAGTTAAGGACGAGCGACCATACAAAGGAAGCAATCGCTGTGAAAATTTGAATCTCAAGGAGTTTTTAGAATTCTTTGGAAATCTATAAAGATATGCACGTTTATTAATGAGCACCCAGCTCGTTTTCTGAACTTTTCTGTCCGTCCGTCTGTCTGTCTATACATGATAACTATAGCGAAAGGACTAATTGATTAAATATTAGTCAATACTAGCCAGTCGTAGACATTTTTGTTTTACAAAATCGATAAGGGTATTCAAAGATCACCAAAGGTCTTAATTCTCTGTAAGAGTTATCAATGGTCTCCATAGCATTTAAAAAAGATTTTTAGGGCCTTTATAATTTTTTAGTCTTGAAAAACAGTGCAGTTGGAACCTTTAAGACACTTTAAGGTTCCCCAATAGGTTTATATTTAAAATCTTTGAAAAACTTTAAGATTGTCCCTTTAGAGGATTCGAGAGCATTTAATCGGGCTCAGTCTTTAAAATGGGAACCTTTGATGAGCCATTAAAAGTCCTTAAAACGTTAAGAGTCGCATACAGTCTTAATAGCTTCCAAAAGCAACAAATTAGTTTTCCAAAGGCTTTAATTCTTTTCCCTCGTTAAAAGCGGAACCTTCGAGGATTTTTGGGAGTCGTTAAAAGTTTTAAGGGCTTGTGAAAACATTCGAAAATACCTTTGAGGGTGCTTTTTGAGTCTTAAAACGACTTTTGGAACCTTTAATAGACATGCATTTTTTAAAAATATTTGAAAACCGAAAATTGAAGAGCTCTTAGGGCTCTTAATTTACAGCTCTTAAAGTTCGTCTACAGTCTCTCCTTCGATAAACCGTTTTCGAATATTCAGTCTCAAAATTCTGCGATCAGAACACTAAAAAAACAATTTAGAGTCTATAAATCAAACTACAAGGCTAAACTCATGAAGGCTCTTAACAGCTCTTAAGCACTATAGACCTAAAGCATTTAGAAAGCTCTTTAGATTAAAGTTCATATAAAAGTACCTGAAGATTTTTAAGAACAAAAGACAACAAAAGAATATCATGAAAAATTAAAGTATTGGCCTTTAAACTGTCTATTAAAGGTTCGAAAAGCTCTTTAAGACTTTTTAAAGGCTTCAAAGACTCACAAAGGCTGTTACATTTTCGGTTCTTAAGAACGGTAAAGGTTTCTGGAAGACCCTTTGAAGGCTTTTAAAGGATAAAAGCATCTAGAAGACTCCTGGAGGTACTAAGGGGCTCTTGAAAATTTTTAAAGGCTCTTGAATACTAATAAAGGTTCTTAAATACTTAAAAACTCTGGAAGAGAGGATACTTTACATTAAAATTTTCAAAAAATTCCTGCATTTTTTTCAGGGCGATTAAAGCCCCAAATTCTGAAGTGTAAACGTAAACGAAATAGCCATCTTGAAAACTGTAAAAATAGTGAACAGACGAACAATGTGGTAAAGAGCCTTTGAAACCGAGTTTTCCAGTCTGTCATGGACATTTTTGATCTACAAGATCTTTAAGCACCCAATGTTTTCTCTATAAAAGTTTTCAATGGTCTCCACAGCCTTTTTTTAAGAACCATTAATAGCTTTAGGTCATCTTTAGAAGTAGTTAACATCCGAGTCTTGAAGAGACCATTTATGATCTTTAAAGACTATATGTTCAGAGTCTTTAAAAAGGGACGTTTAAAAGACCGACCTTTGTAGAGCCTTTAACGAGTCCCTGAACGTCTAAAAGAGCCGTGAAGAGTCACAAACAGTCTTAATAGCGTCCAATATCAACAAAGAGTGGTCTTTGATTCTTTCACCGCTTTAAGACC